ATAATTTGATTTTAAAAATTAATTCAAATAATTTCTGAGGCAAACTGTAGTATATATATATATATATTACGAGAGAAAAATATTTTATGGATTTAAGAAGAAACTTGTTACAATAACTAAGATCTTTTCAATGACATATTTTGCTCTACATATTTCAAAACAATATTAATAAATTTCCAAACTTATATTTTTAGTTCGACTTGAGACAGTAACAGTCTACAAAAAAGTTTGTAAAATATTGAACAAGACCACAAAAAAAGAAAGAACAAGAAGGTTACGGAAAAAAAGATCATTGCCTGAAACTTTTCGACATAATAAAGACAGCCTTGACTTTAATCTAAAAATATTATATTATAATAATTTATCAACTCTAAGTAGTACAAACATTGAAAGTAATTTTAAACAATTTATAGATACTCGAGGGATGGAATATCTATAACCAGAAAATTCCAGATGTAAAGCGATGCTATAAAAAGCGTTATGGTTATGTTACTAAATTTGTCTGGTTAACAGGATTTCCGGAGACGCCAAGACACGGATCAAAACAATCCTTAAGGTACAATTATCTAACCTATAGAGGCAAGGTATGAAGGACTAGGCCAAGTCTCGCTACAACAGTTATTTATAGAAGTGCAGAAACGGTGGAAGACTAATGTACGGGCATCACAGATCTGAAACATAGCCTATGCACTACAAGACGCATTCCGAACGTGATTTAAGAATCACTCAGCCAAAATTCGCTGTACGTCCGCCGTACTGTAACGAGTACTGTCTAATTTCAGAGTCTATTCCATTATTAATTGCCCTCTACACCAATTATAAAATCAAATTTGCTAGAAAATTTAATTGTCTAGTAATGTAATAATTTTTTAAACTAAAATTTGTAATGATTTGAANATATAAATCAATAATTTCTCTAACTGTTTTAAAATTAAAATATTTTAAAATTAATTACTCGAAATTTTTCCAATTATGAAAATATTTACAGTTTCATAAATGTGTTAATTTAAAATATGTTTTTTTCCTTAAATTAAAATACACCACTTATAAATATACCGGAAAATGTGTAAAAGGTATAAATTATGTAAACGAAAAAAGAAATTTGAACTTAAAAAAATTCAAAATAAAATGTAAAAAAATTATTTCATAAATTTGATGAAACTCATTAAAATTAACAGTAAAAATTTTAAGTTTCATTTTAATTGAAAAAACCATGTGAAATGAATATAAAAATAAGTAAATATAAATAAATTGAATTTTTTCCTCATTTTTAACAGAAAATTTTGAATACATAAAGAATATATAAATACTCTCTTATTTAATACCGTTTTTCAAGAATATATATTTATTTAATATTATAATTTTATTAACGTTTATATAATAAACTATATTAAATATCATTTGTTTATAAATGTCATAATGAGCAAATGAAGTTTAATTTAATAAAAGTGAAATTTAAAAGTAAGAAGATTAATCATAATTTTAATACAAAAAACTCAAATATATATTCATGTATTAATAATGAAATGGGATAAATCTATATATATATTTAAAGAAAATCTTGATGTGATAAAAAACCTAGTCCGATAAAAAAAATATATCATCCAATATTAAAGAAATTTTCTTTGTAGAAATGGACAAAATTAATTCTTCTTGAAAAAATTTTATTTCCTAAAAAAGATTTAAATTAAATCCACTTTCAGTCTTATCCAGATTCATTTTGCTTTATATGTAATATAACGTTCAAAATAGGATGATTTCTTTACGCAGAAAAGTTCTTTAACCCCTTCAACCATTGGAAATCATTTAAGACATTTAATTTTCTGTTCAAAATTTAACTTAATCCGCATGAAAATTAGTGACAAGAAATTTATTATAGTGGCTATAATTTATTATTATTATTTCACTTTAAAAAGTAATATAATAAATATAAATTAAAATCACAAAGATAAGAATAAAAGAAGGATTATATTCGAACTAAAACTGCATAAAAATGGCATTTAAGAAAGACGAGAATCACTTTACATTCTGATATTATTTCTTTTTACATAATAATAATAATAATAATAAATTGCTACTATGGAATATGGAAATCAGGAAACTCACTAGAGTTGTCTAATTGTGTAAAAAAAATTTTGACATTAAAATATAGACAATACAACTTTAGTGAGTTTCCCAATTTCCATATTTTATAGTAGCAATTTGTTATTAGTTTGTAATTTAACTAGAGCATATTTATCATTTTTAACACTCGAGAAAATCGCGAATAATATACAAACATCGTGTGTTTTTGTTACCTGTAATAAATTTAATAGACTGTACATATACAGTATATTTTTTCGATTAGAAGTGTTTACGATGGAAATAACTCAGTCTGAAAAACATATAGTCCTACAGTGTATGTATCAATACAAACAACTGCATCTGTATAAAATTAAAATTTAAAGAAGAAAGAAAAATAAATAAATATATGTATATATTAAAGTTTACATGAAAAAATAAATTTAAAAATTTATATATATATATATATTTCATTTAAACTTTAATTTTAAACGGATGCAGTTGTTGCTGTAGGCTATTTTAAAGTTGTAAGAATAAAATATCTCCAATCTACTTCTATTGATAGTTATTGCGTTTTCAAATTAGTTCTAACGTTATCTATAATACTAAATCGATAAAAGAATTTTAAAAACTTCACGCAATATTTAAATTACATTAAATTATTTTTTTTTAATAAATAGAAGTTTTTGAGAAATATTTCTGTATATTATATTTATTTATTATTATTTCTTTTTTAAAAATCCCTTCCTTTGACTGTCAATAATGTCCCTAAATATTCCTTAATAAATTTCTAAGACGTTCCTTCGATTTTTATTCTCCTTAACTTTCCCTCCCCCTTGAATATTGATCACTAATTCAAACCTCGATTTTACCGCATTTCCCTTAAAATTCCCTACCTCGTTTGTTAGATAATAATTGAAATTTGATGACCACAAAATAATGATATTTATGCACACCATACCGCGAAAGAGTAACTCAACCTGGTATATAAAATATCATATCGATGTAAATTTATATGTTGGTATCGTATGCGTATGATTCACGCATAAATGACACGATGGATAATTTATTAACTATTCCAGGAAAAAGATATTCAGGGTCCCTTAATATCATTATAAAAAACAGATAATTACTTCCAGCAACGAATCCATCTCTGTTAAAAAGTATTACACCTGACAATAGTCTGGCTGTAAACATTCATCATGACTCTTCGCTACTCAAATGTTTTTTTCTATTAATCAATTATCCAGGTTTATTTTGGACAACCTCCTGTCATACTAAGAAGAGCTTGCCTTGATGGTGTAACGAATAACATCCTTTTGTACCGCACGATTATCATCCCAGATGGTATACTGCCTTTACATTTATGTAATGAAACGATGTTTATCAATTTTTGCATGGCTGAATTTGCGAATTAATGCTTAACAATATGATACATTTTGTTGATTTAATTTATGTGAATGAATTTTGTTAACATAATATAAAACACTATTTAATTTAACGATAAGAATACGTCCCGAATAAAGTAAACAATATTAGATTTTCTACGAGAATTTAAAGTGTTTATTTAATGTCAATTGTTTCCAACTTTAATTATTATAGAAGTAATATATTTGACAATATAATCTTTTAAAATTCTGTACTAAATATAAAATAAAATAAATTAATTTATACCAGATTTTTCAGAATATTAAGATGTTTTGAATACTTAACTCTTTCAACATGCTCTGCCTTTAAATCGATAAAAATAGGTTCGAGTTTGGAATAAAATATACGCTTCCTCTAACCCTCTCTTTTACTTTTCGTATAATCTCGATAAAAATAATTATAATTCTAACGAGTTTTAATTTACACAAAACTTTTAATTAAAATCTATCACTGAGAATATCGTCTATACTAAAATTAAATTTAAAAAGTAACCTTACATGTTAAACATTCTATGTCATATTTAAATTAATAATTTACAAGAGATGCTTATTCAAAATTCAATACTTTAAATAAATTTAACTAGTCTGCATAATTTTAATTAAACATTTCCCATGAATTCATGTATTTTTATACATGCTTTTTACTTGTATTCGTATACAATTAGAGTATCTAAAAGTGTTACTATGTTAACTTTTGTTTATTTTATCTGAACACCTGTAAGCTTTAAATGTTTAAAGTCATGCAGGTGATACCCAGATACAATTAAATACAGGGATAATTCAACTTAAATTGATTATCTTACATAATTTTGATCCAGTGATATAATATTAATTCTATCGATATGGCACACTCGTTCTAAACTGTTTATCGAATTTGAATATTTGTCAATACGGGTAAATACAAACGGAGTTTCCGCTCGACTTATCCCAAACGGGAAATACTACAAATTTTGTAACCATTAACTGAAACCGGATTTAATCAATCAAATTAATCTTAATTGAAAGGGAAGATAATTCTCAGAATGTTCCGGAAAGTTTTTAAAAGAGAAATTTATATTTAAAAAAAGGTGCCTCATAAGAGACTAATTATTTCAACCCCATATGATAAAAAGCTAACCAACCTCGACACGGATCCTTTATTCTTTAGATCACCGTTGCGAGGTTATCATCAGTAGCAGTCATTAAATATAACATGCAACTACCGCTGGATATCTGCCATCCATATTTTGTAGAATAAGAAAGAGAAGAGAGAAAAAATATGTATATATATTTAACAGAGTAAAATTAAAACTAAAATTTATAGCAACTATTCTAAGAATTAATGCTGCACGACGCGAGTTTCGTTCCGCATCTGTAACAACAACGTTCATTTCATCTAAGCAAAAAATAAGTTTTTAAAAAAAGCAGCAATAACATTCGTATCCGATTTTAAAGCAATATAGACAGAGGAATAAATGTGCGAATTAACTGTAAAAAAACTTTATAGACGTTTTTAAATCTTAATAAACTTACCCAGAGAAAATAAGTATCTCTGTAGCACCATTTAGATATTTTATTTCAGATATACACATTCGTCAATCCTTGACAAGTATCGAATATTAGTCCCACACACATCGAACGACATTCCATAACAGTAATGGCCCAACACGTGGAACTATATCCAACTCTAACCAGACACAAGCAATCTCCAAACTACATCAGCACATCACTACAACCAGATCAAGCAGGGCTTTACCGCCTCGCCTTTGGTTGCGCGCGCAACCGATGCACCCCACAAAACAAAACAAGGGGGAGAGAAAAAGTTAAGATCGGTTTTAAAAACTCGATACTAAAAATAGTCATCATTTGCTATACGATCTACGACTGTACGGATTTTTTTCTATCCGGTTTTCTTTCCTTAATTTCTGGCACGGAAGCGGTTGTTAAATTTCTTCGATTTACCCCCTGACACCTAGAAGATAACACTAACTGCTTTAATAGTTGTTTCTCTATCGGTTGTCAACGCCTATTTATTTTACCAGTTAATTGAGCATATTTAAAGAAGTGGAGCCGTCCCAATACGGTATCGGAGTGATACGTTCGATATGGCTAGATTTCGGCCTAATTACCCCAACTTCTAAGTACTTATACTAGTGTCATTGTCTGGATGGGCCGGATATGTTTTTAAAATAATCCGGTTGCTTACCACTATACCACATTGTGGGGGGTGGAAACTCGTGAAAAGAGTGCTTAGCTGGACTATAGCCAAATGGTTGGGTTGAAAGGAAGTCAAGAAGAATGCGTCTCTGTGCCAAGTGTCTTAACGTGGGGAGCACTCCTTCCCCAACAGGATACATCTTATTTATCAAATATATAAATTTTTTACACGGCTATAATCTCTTGAAAAGTAATATCGTCTGTACAATAATATATACAATTTTTTTAGATTTTTGCCATATTTTTTATATTTCTATATGTTCTACTGGTTAAATAATTCATAAGTTACTTAATATTATTTCAGATAGAGTCAACTTTTAATACTCTAAACATTAAACTTTTTATTAATATTATAAATTGTTTAAAAACTTATAAAATTTTTACATGGTTTATATCAATATAACTTTAGCTACATGGAAATTTGTCACTGCGATATCATAACATTGATATATCATATCAATTATTTGGCTACACTGTTTCTATATATTTCCTGAACATTTCTTTCTAAATGCCGAGTTAAACATTTAATTAATTTACAATTTATTCTCCATTACAATTTACTAAAGATTTAATTTTTAAAAGAATTCGAAAATAAATATAATAAAATACAAATTCATAAGCTACAATCGAAAAAATAAAATTACACATCAAGATAATCACATTGATTTAAGTAAAAAGTTTTCGATACATTAATTTACTTGATTAAAAAGTTAATTGATTATAACATTTTTAATCAAATAGATAAGATATAACAAAATTCAAATGAGGATAACTTAATTAAAAATGCAATTAAACTGGCAAGAAAAAAAATGTATATATATGTAATTTTTTGAAAATTTAATAACTTCAGATGCAATAGAAAAAGAAAATAAAAAATGGAAATTTGATTAATTATGAATATTATTCGAAAATAAGATTTTGTTTCTTTCCAAAAAAACAATGGTTCAATTAAGTATTAAATATAAAAGGATTGAGAATTTCTACAAGTAGCAGGGACATAAACATCTAAATAACCCGTATCAGATTTATAGCAGCTACAAAACTTTCAAGAATGTTCATGACATATCCATTAACTCTTAACTAAGCCTCAGGTACGTAAAAAAAGAGAAAAAAAGCTATTTTTTGGATAATTCAGAATGCTCAAACTGTTATAATGTTTCTTTCTTTAATAATAGTTTTTCCACGTTTTAAATCAAAGTAAAACTAATTATTTATTTCAAAAAATTCTTACTTTAAAAGGAAAAATATAGCCTATAGGAGCACTTTCGATGATGATAAACGAAAATAAGGAATTTTTTTGAAATAAAAACAATTGCTACTTTGCAAGTGTTGTAAAAACCTCTTCGGATTTTCATTATTATATCCGCCAAATTTAAAAATCGAACGATATTTTTAATTAATGAAAACTTTCATATTAATTAATTTCTTTTTCCAGCTACTACCTCATTTATTTTTATAATAAAGGATGATTTAAATGAAGTTATCGGACAATCACTGACATTATAAATTCCATTTAATTATACTTACTTATAAATTTGTTTCTAAGATATAGTAAATTAGTTGATCTCAACTACGGGATCATATTAATTCCTTCTTTGAAATGTTAGAAGTTTCTATATTCAAGAATTTAATAATTTTTTAAACTAAAATTTGTAATGATTTGAAATTAAAGTAGGATAATAGTATCCACATTTCTGAACAAAATATTTAAAAATACTGAAATATAATTTCAATTCAGTACAGTTTTTGTTAACTGATCAAAAATCAATATTCAAAATATTAATATGCTCTATTTTGAACGTTACTAGTTAAATATATTTCTTAATGGATTGTAATGATAGTTAATATAATCTTACATGCCTACGTTATCTAATAAATTTTTTATCTAATACTGTATCCGATCTGACTTAAAAGAAGCCTTCTCAAGGGTATTTCGTTTGCCTGCTTCGTAGGTAACTAAAGGAAAATTCATTGATTCGTGTTGCTGGATTTCAGCAAGTGTATTATTCAATATTGTGTCATATTTCGAGAACTTTTCGAATCATACTGTGTTCAATTTTTACGAAAATATCTATTTGCAGAGCTGGCTTTACCATTGATTTTTTGGATTGTTGAATAAGATTCTTGAACTTCTATTTTTTCCTTCCTTTCGAGGATTGTATTTCCACTGCCCTTTCCGACTTTAACACAGATTTTGGAATATCTACAGAAAAATCGCTGAAAACCAGTTTTTTCAGCAAGTTGAGTTCAGCAATAAGATTCAATCCAATTCTAAAAACATGAAAACTATGCCCATGTGCACCAATTTATAAATCCACTTTATAACAAAACATGAAGCTGTATAAGAAAGTTTCGCTGTGAAGCTGAATATAAAGATATTGTAAGAATATTGTAAGAATAAAGAATTGTAAGAATATTAACAAGTAAGATATTTCATTTATATATTTTACACATTTCATATATTTTTATAAGCTAATTTTTGGCAAATATACGTATTAAAATGAGTGCAAGAGTCAATATTAGACATTAATATCATGTCTACTAAAAATTTAAAAGAAATGACAAACGTTTTACTCAAAAAATATTAATTAAATAATGTTAGAACATCTGCAATAAAATATTTTATAGTCGAACACAGTATTCAACTAAAACACGTCTTAAAAATCTACGAATTCCTTCATGTGAGAATTATGTTATGTAAATGCATCTATTTTAAATAATTTTATTATAGAATTTTCTTCATAAAATTGTAGACAGATAGTTTTAAGACGTTTGCAATGTAAAAGAAAATGCACATTAGCATAAGGTAATTTGAAAAATGTATTTTTCAGATTACATTAGCATTGTTATGAGATGAATTAAGTAATCGAATCTTGAGTTCAAGTAGATTTTTAAAAGAGAGAGAGGGGGAAATAATAATAATAACGTTTGTAAAATAGAGCACAGGAAAATAAAATTATCTTGTCTTTTGTTCAGTGTCAATGATATAATCATACTACGCTTCATCAGAGATGTGCAGAATAAAATAGGAAAAAATATTTCAATAAAAATATAAAACTTATTTTATTAATTCTTGTATATTTTTATATTTTGTTTTATTTTATAACTTTTGACAGTATAATCAGTTAAACTTCTTATAAAGAGTTATATCATTAGCTAAATATATTTTGCTGTTAGTAATAGCTTATTCATATTTAACAGAGCAAGGATAAATGAAAATTTATACATTCATTATTTATTCTATAAAATAATAATAATATTAATAAGTTAACAAACTCTAAAATAAAAAGTTATGTGCTCAGTTTCTCTAATCTTAAATATGCATAATATTCTTTGATTATCATAATTCAAAGCAACATTATTTCAATATTTTACTTTATAAATTATTCAGAAATTTAAATTCAAATGCTTACAGAAAAAAATCAAAACTTTATTGCAAATTATTAAAAAACAAACTACAGAAACATGAAAATTTGAAGATATTAAACAATCTCTGTTTGAAATATTTGATTGAATGAATGCTTTTAACTTCGAAATATGAGATGTACTTCAAATAATTCAGACTTTAAAAAAATCTTGAGTGAGAGTAATAGTGAGAATAAAAAACGTAACTGAATAGTTTTATTATTTTCTATTTATATAATATTAAAAAGCAACAAAATTGAAGTATAAAAATGACATATTGTAAAGCAGTAAACAATTTTTAAAACAATTAGAGATTATGGTATTATATATACATAATATTATTTTTCAGTGAAAATTTTATAATTTTAAAATTGAAATCAGTAATGTTTCTTGCACCAAACAAATAATTTTTTAATAGAAAAGGTGGTAAATTTTGTCAATTTTAGCAATTGTATGTACACTGAAAGAGTTTTAATCTGTAAATTTTATACATTTAACATTGAAACAATTTTATCGTTATTATATTAACCTAAATAAAAACGTTTTAAGCTCTTAAAACTCATACAATTTGTATCCGCATCTGAAAGTATGAGAATAAGAAAATAAAATACAATTTCTACTTATCATTTATCATATATGATACGAAGATGCCAGATTCTGGAGAGAATCTCAAACCTTATCTAAAATATGATCACGAGTGTCCACCAGACTAATGTTAGCAACTCGACACCTGATTCGAATTTGTGATATTTTCCCTATTTTATAGCCTAGTTTCAATCAAGAAAGTAAATGAACTTCGTAAACTCCTGACAATCTTAAACGATTTAGATCACTAAATGTCTAATAAAAGAAGAAGAAGAAGAAGAAGAAAAAAAAAAAAAGATATTTCTATTCTATAAACAAGACATTTACACTTATTTATTTTAAATAATAAATGTCAAATGTAATTAAATAATTTTTATTATTCCATTGAATATTTTTACAATTGCATATCATTCAGAATTTAGTACTAAACTGATTCTGAATATAAGAAATATTTACACTATAAATAAGAATTTTATTTATGGAAAAATAGAAGGCTACCATATTATATACAAATTTATGCTCTGGAGCAGTTTTTCATGACATTTGGATTAAATATGTGAATTATTATTCATGGGCTGAATAAAAACATCAAGATGTCTCAATGCTTTCAATTTTGCATTGCAAAATTCTTCAAAAAAATATCCTCTCTCTTTCTGTTTTAGTAACACTCAATGTTTAAAAATATATAAATATAATACTGGCCTATCATTTGTCAGCTGTCAATTAAAAGTTTTACAAAAATTACTATTTTTTAACTACTATATAAAATCAAAATTAAAAATAAATTCATTAATTAAACATAAGTTTAAATTAGAAATAAGACAAGCTTAATGTCTTGAGAATTAACATTAAAGACAATTTATTGTACAGTAAACTATCTGAAACCAATTTGTATACAATTTAAATTCTATAAATAATTGTAACGATCACATAAATTTAGAAGATATTCAACAACTGCCGTAATGACCCATCTCAATACAATATAATGAATCAATACGCCTGTATCATTTTGTGTTACTTAAAAAAAGGAACAAAACCTCAAGAGAAACCAATGCTATTTATATGATCTTAACTTTCCACCTGAAAAAACATTACGTTATAAAAAAGTAAAAACAGTAATGATGCAGAAGAAACGAAATTTTGAATGTTCAGATTTTAAATATTTTAATAACCCAGCGATGAAATATATGTTTTCTGTCTTACACTTAATTCATTCTATAGATTTCTTCTTTAGATCTTTCAGAGTTTTAACTCAATTAAAAAAAGAACAAATTTCCAAAAAATAATTTAAATATTCACAGTTCAAGTCAAATCAACTTAATTAGATTAACATTTAAACTTTCAGATTAGCCAACATTAAACAACGTTGTAATGTTTAAATTAATATTTAAGCCTGTTTTTGTTTCGTGAAAATAAGTTTATTATTATGGTCCCAAGCTACCTTTTATTTCCTGGTCGTAAAGAGCATTAAGAAAAGCACCACCACACTTTGCTGTTCGTAAAATAGTGTCATTATTGTAAAACAGTGAAGTCTTCTT